ACTTATGGGTTGGAATTTCAATTAGGAAAAGGGAATGTAAGGGATATCTCTATTGATGGAAGAAGAGACATAATGTAATTGTTTAATTGATGGAATTGTTTCTTTTTATGAATAGATGCTTCAAATATGATTTATCTAAAAATAGAACATTCAACAACAAAACTATTTTTGAGTTATTACATAAAATTATGATTCTGAAAAGTTATTAAATTATTTTTTTTTGTATCATTCAATTTATTTCTTTTAAATTATTATTCTTTGGTTTCTTTTCAATATCACTGAAGAAGTTAAAATATTTCTCTAATAAATAAACTTAATAAAAAAAACTAAATTATTTTTCTTTACTGTAAATAGAATTTACTTTGATAAAAGTATTCTTTTAACTTTTTGTAGAAAAATAAATATTGGAATGAATTGAAAACAATTCTAACTTCTGTGTTGAGTTACTAATGTTATCAAATCTCACAAATTAAATATTTTTAATAGAACCAAATTAATAATGGCTTAAATCAATTAAACAATATTAAAAAAAAACTCTTTTTTAAACCAAATGGAAAAAATAAATAAAAACAATACTCATTTTTGAAGAAAATAACTAGTAATAATAACTGAGAGTCTTCTACAACGAACTTAAAAATTGATTAAAGATGATACCAATTAATAAAGGAATTTATCTATATGAATTTCAAAAAATTAATATCCCTTTACCAACACATTCCTTTTTGATTTCAGAGAATGAGAAAGGTTATTGTAATGTTTGTGGTAAATATTGTGAAAAAGATGAAACAGTATTATGTCAGAAATGTGGTATAATAGTGCATTACAATTGTTCAGAACATGCATATTCTTATTGTCTAACCAAATTATCGTATCTCAGTGGTTATACGTTAATCCTAGAAGAGTATCTTGCTGCTTCATATACACCTCATCAACCTCATTTAATTATAGAATCAACAACACATCCCTTTATTTGTCAGTCTTGTAATAGTGAAATTAAAGGGAAGTGTTATAGGTGTTTATGTTGTGATTCAGTATTTCATATTGATTGTAAGCCATTAAGAGATTGTAAATTATGTCGTACATCTGATCCTCTTCAACACCATATGCTTCATGGAGCAGATAAGTTTTGTTTTGTATGTAGAGAATCAATAGAAAGAAAAGCTGGATTTCATTGTTGTTGGTGTTCGGTAAATGTTCATGCCAAGTGCTTATCGTTATTACCATCACATTGTTCTTATGGTAAATTTGCTTCTGTCTTAACTAAACCTCATATAGAATCAAATCTTCTTGTTGTAGATTGTGTAAATAAATCAAACGAATTTTATTGGTCATTATTGCACTTAAATCCACGGCAATTAGTTTATTCTATAAAAGACTACAAGTCCCAAATCATTGTTTATTGTCAAAATCTTCAAAACTTTAATTCTAAATTATCTTTATTTACAAATGAAAATAAGATTATTGTTACTAATGGTGATTTAGCTCAAACCTTTGGTTGGAATATCCCTTTTAAAGATGTAATACAAAACATAACTCATTCAGTAGAAATTAATTGTGACATATGGAATATCAGCCATCTTAACAAAGAGTTTTGTTGTTATTGTGGTATAGGAATTGATGCATACCAATTAAGAACAAAAGAAAATGAATTAATTAAAATTATGTTAGAGAAACATATTCATGTGTTTCTCGGTGATAAACAACTTAATTTAAAAGGATTATGTGGAATTATTTTTATGAACATACCATTCTATCAAAGCACTAAATTTGTTGACCAACTAGATGCAACACTAAATGACAGATTAATAGAAATTATTGGCTTCACTTCTGCTAATCATTTTGCTGTTTGTAAATCTGGTTGTTTAATGCCAAAGCATATTGGAACTTCAAGAATTATCAAAGTTGTTGTCTTTGAAGAAATTGACTTTGAAATTGATGGATGTCTTTTAAAGTTATCTCGTGGAGTTTATGTGATTCAATCTTTCCGCCAATTAACATTCCTTGCTTATAAAAAACGTTAATAACAAAAAACTTCTCCATGTTTTATATTGAATAATTGTTTTATCTAATAATTTCTTTTTTAGAACAATCATAAATTTTGATATATATTACAA